GAGCTTTCTTCCTTTGCAACAGGGATGCAACTAACCGCTGTCTGTCCTGCCGCTCTGTTTGAGAACAGTAAGTTTTGATTTTCTGGATCCTTGTGCTAATAAGCACACCATGCACTGAAACCCCAGGAAAACAGGGTTATATGTATAAGCATATGTAAATGACATGGACATGGGTGTTTATTCCCAAAGAGAACAATAAAACACCAAATATACTTGCATTTGCATTTTGGAAACTGTCTGGTGAGGTGTGATGCAGACAAATATCTAAGATCAAACGTGTGGCCATGACAGACCGTCAAAAGACCAGAATTACCTCAGAAATCACGGCTCACAGACGTCTGGTACTTGGTGGGTTTAGAGACCACAACAGCAGCAGCTAATAAAACGGTCTGTTTCTCTATCTGTGTTTGCAGCCACGCAGCCAGTTATGACAGTGACCCCAGCACCCCGATGGTATACAGCTGCAGCACGCAGTACCGCATACACACACATGGAGTCTTCAGGGGAATACAGGTAGGAACCCACATTACTGCTTCTCCTGCATGCGCCTAACTCTTTGTCAAGAGGTCACCCTGAGGTCATGTGTTAAGATCAGAGCGTAGCCACATGCTTGACGATACTGAAAAACACCTGAGGTCACTTTGATAAACAGAAGAGTAAAAACAGACGATTGAGCCAGAACGTATTTTTCTAATGGGTGGAATGAAGAAGATGAGTGGTGGAGAGTCTGATGCAATGAACAGGCTACGTGAAGAGGACTGATATGCAGCAGAGCACAGATTTACAAACTCATACACACAAATACCTGCGCGTACACACACACACACATTCAGGGGCTCTTATAAGGCGACTTTAAAAAGTCAAGAGGAATCTTTTTCCACAAATCCATTAGCAGTGGAGAAACACACACTCAGGGTTACGCTGGGTAACGATGCAGTTTCCATGCAGGGATCAGCATGTTAATAAATCATTAGATTTTAATTATTGTCTGTCAGCTGCTCTAAAGGACAGGGAGCAGGAGATTCTCCAGACCTGCTCTTAGTCCACAACAGGACTTTTTGAGATCTTTCTTTCTGGGGCCTGCTTCATTACTCACTCTGTCCCTTTTCCTTCTCTGAGATCTGGCTCGGTACAAAAGAATAAACAATATCTCACTCCTGTTCCTTTTTAAAGTATAATTTAAGAGCTGCTAAAAAGTGAGATAACAGATTGAGCAGCAAAACGATGCTTTGCTCCATATTTTTATTACAGGGATTACACTAATTCCCTGTCACTGCCAAAGGAAATACAGATGACAGCCGTGGAATTTCACTCTTCATTAATATTACCTCACGGCCTGCAGTCATTATTACACAGAGTGTTAAAAACTGAAGCCTCTGATCAGCTAACTATAACACTTTAGTCTCACAAAGTCGTTGTTGTTGGTCTCACATTAAATCAGCTAAACAGACCTTCAGCAAACACGTTACTTCTTAGTTCTGGGTTATTTTGTATGGAGGCCCAGTGTGGTCAAAATTAATTAAACGGATATGTCATTTTAGATTTTTTAAGTAATATACATGACTTAAATGGTAGAACGAAACCTAGAATAATAATATTTAATTATCAATATTTGAAGAAAATAGTTTTTTATGCTGATATTTGTGTATTTTTTCATGCTCTTCTATTGTATAAAAGTTTTTCTTGACAGTTTACCTTTTAATCAGCCATGTCCTCTACATCTCTGAAGATTTAACAATATCTACCCAATGCAAGCAGGTTACTTCTTTGAGCCACAGCAAAAACGTTTACCAAAGTTAATGATGCTACTGCTGTAACCACTGCACAGACAGCTTAAACTGTCTAGCTGTGTAACTCGCTATGCAGGGTTGTGAGCCTAAATTATAACCCGAAATAAAAATGAAGAAGAATCCTAAACGTTCATCATCTCAGTGCAGAACCATAAAATGCTGTCAGATTTCATCGAACAAATGTATTTAGTGCTGTATGTTTCACCATATACATATTTTTTAAAGCATTTATCTGATGTTAAACACATCAGGACTCCCTACATTAACACATAATAAACTATCAGTGCAAAGAGTTTGTATTGTGTGTCAGCCCGACACGCTGTGGATTCTGATCAGTTTACAGCTCGTGGTTGTCTCGATGTTCACATGGGCACGGTAGGTGACTCTTAACAGCTCTAATGTTAACAGTTCTAATTAGAACAGGGCTGACCTCTTAATCTCTGGTCATTATGCTAAACGCTGAGGAAATGAAGAGCAGATGCTGCAAACAGGGGAGGAGGAGGAGAGACGGGAGGCAGCGTGGAGGGAAAGAGGGAGAAAAGAGAAAGTGAGAAAGGGAAGAATGAGGTGGAGGGGTGTAAAGTGGAAACAGAAGACGGACGGCTAAAGGAAACATGAAGAGCGTGTAGTCAATGTAGATTAAATAACCAGCAGCAGGTGAAATGAAACGCCAAGACGTCTGGTAGTGTAAATAAATGTAAACACTGAATTTGTCCCTTTGGCCACGTGTGTTTTCCTGTTTTCTCCTCCGGCTGTGAGCGATGCAGTGGGGGGCACTGTAAGGGGGTCGGTCTAAAAAGCGTGACTAACGGCTCCCTTTGGGCTGCACTCAGCCTGGGGTCATTTTACTGCTAATTCCCATCTAATGAATATATGACCATTTCATCATAATGAACCCCAACATGGAGATCTCATGCACTCATTTACATGCAGGACAGATTTAATTGCCTGTTTTCTAAATGACATTTTATTGCTTCGGTTATTGATGTCCTGGGAGAGTTTTTGTTAATTCTGCATTGAGCAGTTTAG